GTACCTTTACACTGTCAATATATTCGCCCGCCCACACATTCACTTTTACTCACTACACCGGCACACACGCCTAATGACCACTACATACGCACCGGTACGCGCGTAACGAACTTCAACAGTGTTACCTTCATTTTTCAGCTGGTCCCCTGTTTATATCTGCTGTTGTCTCCCCACCCCAGCGACAGTCCCGATTCCATCTTTGTGTTTCAGCGCCGACTGAAGAGCAGTTATTCTGTTTAGCGACCGGGATATCAGATACTGTTGTGTTCTGTGTCTCCGCAGACCAGAAAATAAATTCAATTTTAAACTGAAACAGACCTCGATTCTTATAGGGATAAGCACTCAGTATGAAAACATAAGATAGTAATTCTGAGCAAGAATTCTAATTTTACATGTTGTAATCGCCACCAGGTAAGGCGTCAGTTGTCTCCAGTGGGGAATAATTCCCTGGTTAAATGAAATAAATATTAAAAACATTTACAGAAAACACAACTGAACAGTTAAATGGTGTAAATATAAAGTCAAACTTTATGATATCTTTAAATAAATAATAATTTAATAATAGAGTTTTTTATAACAGTAACAGTTTGGACATATACTATTTTTTTGGGTCTTTTATAGAAGCAACATCGAGGGTTGTTTTCCCAGCAGCCAATGAGAACGACTTCTCCGCCCTCAAACTGGAATCCGTAAGTCCTTGGTGCAATGTTTCTTTACCCTCCAAAGTTTTCTTCCTGTTTGAAAAATGAGCCAGAAAAACCAGTGGACTGAAACGCAGCCGTGTGAACGCAATCAGCTTGTCCCAGCGTGTTTAAAGCTTGCCCAGTTCCTCTAAACGGACACCAGGGCGGCCCGCTGCTCTGAGAGCAACTGACAGTATTGAAGTGAAGAGTAAGGGTGAAAGAGTAAACTCTCTCCTAGAAGATGGAGCATATTTTCATCTCTTGTTCCATCCAGCTTTTTGCAAATACTTACATTACATTACAATTACATTACATTAACATTACAATTTATAAATTATAATTATATTAATATTATATTATATTATAATTTTTTTTTATATTATATTAACATTACATTACTGTAATTACATTACATTACATTATATTATATTATATTATATTATATTATATTATATTATACTTATATTTGACATTACATTACATTAACTCTATATTATATTATAGTTTATGAATTAATTCACAGTTACATTAGCATTATTAATCAGTAAATGAATATGTGAATTAGAGTTTCTGATCTTTTGGAATGAGGCAGTGTTGCTCCTCATCCTGCAGATAAAACCTCGCTGTTGAGGCTGCAGCCTGCCTGACCGTCACGAGTGTGTGTGTGTGTGTGTGTGTGTCTGTGTGTGTGTGTGTGTGAGCCTAGCTTAGCACAAAGACTGGAGGTGGAGGGAAACTGTTAGCCTAGCAGCCTCTTTCTAAGACCTCAGCGGAGGAGATTCTCTTGAACCTCCTGTTCTCCATGTTTCTCCTCTTCACCTCCTGCTCCTCCTCTTCCTCCTCTTCTAGTGTCACTAGTGGTCAAAAACTCTTCCTCTCCTCATCTCCTTTTTAACCTCCTCACCTCGCTGTAAAACTCCCCCGTTTGTGTTCTCCTCCTCCTCTTTTACACTTCCTCCCTCCTGTTCTCCTCCTCATTATTTCAGCTCCCGGTTCGTTAGGTCAAAATAACAGAGTCGACATCACTGACACAGAGTGTGTGTGTGTGTGTTGATGTGTGTGTGTGTGCTCTCTCTCTGTGTAAGTGTGTGTGTGTGTGTGTCTCCTCTTCCTGTGTAAGTGTGTGTGTGTGGTGTGCTGTGTGTTGTGTGTGTGTGTGTGTGGTCTCTGCAGTTTCAGAGTTGAACTGTGTTTTCTAATCGAGCAGAAACTATTTCAGCAGCGAATCAATAAATCAGATCATTGATTATTGATCAACTTTATTCCTGCTCTCATTAACTGTTAATGGCAGGAAGTCGGACCGAGCCTCCACTTTAAAGAAAGAATTTCTGTTGGAAGAAATCGTAGTAAACTTATTTCTGTTAATCAAATTAGTTTAATATACCTATTATTATGATTATTGTTATTATTAATTACTATGTTTAATGGAATTTGTACAGTTCACTTAATTTACCTTGATAAATACTTGAGTTCCTTTTATCAAATAAAATATTTTTTATGTTTAAATTGTTTGATTTAATTAACTTAAACAGTTAAAGTAACCAAACTAACTCATCAGGTTTTACAGTGTATGCTAACACTGCTATCATGTTAGCATCGTCACTGTTCGCTTTACGTCAGCGTTGTTTGAGGGAAAATTCATCCTTTTATCAGCTGATTGTTAAGAACTCTGATTTCCCAGACTGCTCACCACACACACACACACACACACACACACACAGATTAAAATGCCACGGTGACATAATCCTCAGATTGATCTCTTTGTTTTTGGTGCTGTGGTGTTGGAGGAACATGGAGAGCTGTACCACACTGTGCCAGGCCGCCTTTAAACTGATGGATGAAGTGTGTGTGTGTGTGTGTGTGTGTGTGTGGTACCGGTTGTCCTGCTCCTCCTCTGAGTTCAGAAACTTTCCATTCTGCAGGAAAACACAGTTAATGAAAGTTAAACGAGGTAACAGAACTGCTTTAAACCTGATTGTTTCCCATTAAATTCATTCAATAGAACAAGTTTTCTATTAACTTACGGAGCTAACGTTGGCTTAATTAGCCAACTAGCTGCATTTCAGTAAAACTGATGTTTGTGGGCGGATGGTAGCTCACCTGGTAGAGCGGGACCGCCTCTTTCTCTCCCATTTCTTGTCTACCTTCACTTGTCCTATCAAAATAAAGGCATAAAATGCCCAACGAATATCTTTAAATGGATGTTTGCCAGCTTGAAATGAGAAGCTGTTTACTTCTGTGTACGTTGTTTGAACTTTGATGGTAAATCTGCCGCCGTTATCAGTCTGAGAGATTGACAGGAGCAGTAACTAAGGCTAGGCTTTTAAAGAGTTTATGAACACACCTGGAGGTAGGTAGATTTCACTGGACAGGAACTGTATAAAAAAACTGTAATCTGTAAAGTAACTTTGCCATGACACAGAGTTCGACAACCTGGGACTTGATGGCACAAACATTGACATTGAGCAAGCCCAGAGGATTGGCCGGTACAGGGAGGGGGGAAAGCCAAGGAAAAT